ATATATATATATAATATTATTATATATCTAAATTAAAATTTATTTATATAGTCCCATAGATTTGCGGAAGATATAGATATATTATGAATCTTCTCAATTTCTTAGAAGTAGTTGAAGATCAATACTAGTATATTAAAGAGAAATCACATAATCGAATAATCGAAATTAATCAAATAATATAATGCCTGGCAAAATCCAATTGAATTTTAAAGATAATATAATCATAGAATTTCTAGATAATGAAATTAGGCAATAATCTCAAAAATTAGATTTTCTAGAGAAGCTCACGGGTCAAGTCTTTATATACACATCCTATTAAAATAAATGGATTCTATAGATAAATTTGCATAAAGCTGTATAATGTAAATCATTCCCGAATCTAAAAAAATATTGACTCGTAAGCCTCTTCGAGAAGAAATGATTGCTAATAAATCCCAAATCTTATAAATAATGCCTAGATTTTCAAAATTTTATAGTTCATAAGATATTAATAATTTCGCATATATCTAATTATCCATCTGGAAATATTATTATTAATATCTTTGCTCATGACTTCTCATCTGGTCGTCCATGATATATATTAATTCTGATTTTTAGATATAAATTTAAATTATCTTTAAAATAATAATGATATTTATATATATTTATATAAATTGATATAAAGAAGCTCATATATATATTCATGCAAATTGGATTCATATATATTAAATTCTCATACTAATATAAATATAATCTTATATACCTAAAAATATCAATTTGAATATATAAATATCGTGAGTCAATAGTTAATCAAATTATATTTCTTCTTGATATTGAATTGAGTCGATATCTATCCGAAATCAATGCCTTCTTATAGATCAATTCTCATCTAAATTTAATTTAATTTTTATTGATTTTCGATATATATATCAAAATTCAATTTCTTATTATGGATCCATATTCATGAAATTTCGATTTATTAATATTATATATGAATATCTATTTGATAGCTTATTCAAATCAAATTAAATTATTATGGATCAATGCCTCCTATTCCTAGTGATATCAGAATTCAATTCGAATCTAAATTTATATCTTGATAATGAGATTAATAGCTTTCTTAAATGATTCAGCTTAGTTGATTCAATATCTATCTAATCTATATTATGGAGGCTATAGATCAATGCCCATCTATATTAATATTCGTATTCGTGAAGTTCGATAAGAAAAAAATTCTATGATTTATTATTGGGTTATTAACTGTTAATACCTATTCATATATAATTTTGTCGTCGTCTAAATATAGTTCAATATTCTTTAGCATTCTTATAAATTATTATTGAATATATTATTCTTCTTTCTAGATCTTTATTTATCGATTTTTTTTGGTATTTATTCTCGTTATAAAATTAATTGGTATTGGGGATTCCAAAATAATCTAGTATTTATTTTCTATATCGCGGATGATATCCTATCTAATTTCAATTAATTTTTATCTTCTTATTAATATCTATTCGAATTTCTTTTTTGATAAGATATATCAATATCAATTCGATAATATAGGAATTGGGAATCTATATATATTCAAGTTATTAAAATTATAGAATCAATAATATCCAAATTTGCTCATTATTGAATGTCGATAATATCTGGGTCAGATATAATATTCATATAGATTAATATAATAATATTGAAAATTAATATCTAATAATTATTTTATTAATAATAATAAT